TTTCACCTGCATCTATGGCAAGCATCCTCAGAGGTAGTGAGGTCTGTTGGAATAGGAAAATGGGTTTATATATCTGTGGAATGACTGGGGTGGGGCAAGGAGCTCTTCTCTGCTGCAGTTAGGTGTGAATGTTTAGCTGATCACCTTCATTAGCATTTGAAGGCCTGCCTGAGCCTGGGAAAATCTGTTGCTGGGAGGTGTTAATCTGTGCCCGGTTTTTTCCTCTCTGTTGTTTAGCTGTTATAATTTTTGAGTTTTTTAATACTGGTAGCCAGATTTTGTTCATTTTCATGGTCTCTTCCTTTCTGTTGAAATTGTCCACATGCTTGTGGATTTCAATGGCTTCTCTGTGTAGTCTGACATGGTGGTTGTTGGTGTGGGCCACCCCACTCAGACCCATCGTGAGTGCCATTGGATCCCCTACATACGACCTAGCAAAATTTCTTGCTGCACAGTTACAAAGCCATATTGGGCTCACTACACACTACATCAAGGACTCAGCCCACTTCATAGAAAAAATCAGCAATCTCAAGCTAAATACAAACGACAAACTGATCAGCTTCGATGTGGTATCTCTATTTACCATGGTCCCGGTAGCAGACACCATGGCACTCATCAACCAGAGGTTCCCAGAAGACATCACGGCTCTGTTTCACCATTGCCTCACCACCAGTTACTTTCAGTGGGACAATGAATTCTACGAACAGAAAGATGGAGTAGCTATGGGGAGCCCTCTCAGCCCGGTCATAGCTAACTTCTACATGGAACACTTTGAAGAACAAGCCCTGGAAACAGCAACCAAAAAGCCCACGATATGGTTCAGATATGTGGATGACCTTCACCATTTGGAGCCATGGAGAAGAAGAACTCAACAGGTTCCTGGACCATCTTAACAGCATCCACCCAAACATCCAGTTCACCATGGAAAAAGAAAATGAAGGAAGACTGCCTTTTCTAGATGTCCTAGTCATCCGCAAACCAGATCAACAATTGGGTCACACCGTCTACAGAAAACCCACACACACAGATAGATATCTACATAAAAACTCCAACCATCACCCAAGTCAAAAAAGAAGCACCATTAAAGCCTTGGCAGACCGTGCAAAAAGAATCTGCGAACCCCACTTCCTCCAAGATGAACTGAACCACCTCAACTGGGCTCTCCAGGCCAATGGATACTCCACCTCAGACATCAGAAGAGCTGCAAGACCAAAAACAAGCCACGAGAGTAAAGATGAAGACCCACCCAGAGGAAAAGTGTTCCTGCCATACATCAAGGGAACCACTGACCGCAGAGGGAAGCTGATGAGGAAACACAACATACAAACAATCTACAAACCCACCAAGAAAATCCAACAAATGCTACGTTCAGCAAAGGACAAGAGGGATCCTCTCACCTCTGCAGGAGTCTACCGTATACCATGCAGCTGTGGACAAGTCTACATAGGGACCACCAAACGCAGCGCCCAGACACGCATCCAGGAACATGAAAGGCACTGCAGACTACTTCAACCAGAGAAGTCAGCCATAGCAGAGCACCTGATGAACCAGCCTGGACACAGCATATTATTTGAGAACACAGAAATGCTGGACCACACCAACAACCACCATGTCAGACTACACAGAGAAGCCATTGAAATCCACAAGCATGTGGATAATTTCAACAGAAAGGAAGAGACCATGAAAATGAACAAAATCTGGCTACCAGTATTAAAAAACTCTAAAATTATAACAGCTAAACAACAGAGAGGAAAAAACCAGGCACAGATTAACACCTCCCAGCAACAGATCTTCCCAGACTCAGGCAGGCCTTCAAATGCTAATGAAGGTGATCAGCTAAACATTCACACCTAACTGCAGCAGGGAAGAGCTCCTTGCCCCACCCCAGCCATTCCACAGATATAAACCCATTGTCCTAATTCCAACAGACCTCAAAACCTCTGAGGATGCTTGCCATAGATGCAGGCGAAACGTCAGGAGAAATGCCTCTAGAACATGGCTCTATAGCCCGAAAAAACCCACAAGAACCTAGTGATTCCAGCCATGAAAGCCTTCGACAATACATGGAATTTGTAGTTTGGTGAAGCTAAAATGGTGTAAAACTGTATTAATTCTACAGTGCAAATGCAACCAAGGAAAGCACCAGAGTTCACTCATCTTCCACAGGCCAACTGTTAGAGTCCCAGCAAGCAATAATAGCAACAAATGCACAAAATCAGGATTGCGTCTTAAAAAATAAACCTCAGTGATTAGAAAAACACAGTATCTTCTGTACATTAAAGAGACTGAGTGATAATCTTGTCTTCCTGTAAAAAAAACATGTTTATTTGTTTATATTTTTTAACTACGTGGCTTGAAGCTAGTTTAAGTTTGGCAACACTCGTGTTGGTTACATGATGTCACCCAACAGGACAACACATTGAGAAGCTGGTTGGTCTAACTTAACACATGTAAACAGTTAGGATTCGACAGCACTCACAAGGATAACTCAGACTGCACCAATGAATTCACAGGACGTTTGGTGGTACGAACATGGAAAAGCTCAGTCTCTCCTCAGTTGATTTAGTGGAAGTGTTTCTTTTTTTCTTGTGCTCAAGTCCATGACTTCTAGGCTGGAAGGATAGCTACGGCCAACCCTACGCCATGTATGTTTCCATCTCAATTCAGATCACACCAAGCTATGATTTGGGCTGATATTTGAACCTAGTCATTTACCAATCAGCCATATGTGTGCAAATCATAATTATGCTCTGATGTGCCGACTGAACCAAGTCATTATGTGATTCATCTCATGCGCTTTGCTCAGCAAACTCTTCCCGGCAGTGGATCTCTATGGCACATTGTAGTCTGGATATCAAAGCCTGACCTATTTGGTAAAGGAAGGCTGCTGGTAGAAAAATGGCCCTGCCTCGAAGTGTCTTAACATGACCTCTTTGTCACTTACAACTCCGTGCTGTGTACAAAGACTCACATATAAAGTGATCAGTATAGTGGACACAAAGTGGATCTATCCCTACTTTGCAGCAGGATGGAATGATGGAATATAAGACTGAGAAACACACAAAACATAGTCATCCCCAAGTCCCATTTGTTTCACCGATTGGGTTTGTGATTCTCATTCATTAGCAAAGGAATATCAATTTGGGTACCTATGCTAGGACCTGCCCCAGAGTTCTGAGTGACCTGAATTCAGAGCATGAGGATATATTTCCCAAATTGGAACAACTGATATAGAACTGCATCACAAAAAGAATGCATTGCAGGGAATTTTTCTTATTTGTGCAAGTAAAATTTGGACTGGAGCATTAGTAGGGTCTGACCACAAAAGGATCCTGTTCTAGGTCCATAACCATTGGACCAGAGTAATTTTAGAGGTTTTATAAGAAGCCATATGTATGCATGTTGGCTTTACATAACTGATTCGAAAAATATGTCTTTGAAAAAAGAAAAGAAAATCAGCCTGGACTATTCCATTGAAAATATAAGGGCAGGGGTGAGCGTAACGGAACATGAGTAGCCTCATTCTAAAGACTTTCCAGTGTCTCCCCTTAAGACCAGTGGATTTTCTCGGCTCGTGGATGGAACAGAACTCTTTGACAGGTAGCTTGGCCATGTCTTCTTAGGCAAGACTAGTGGCGGTCTCCTTCTACTCGCTTCTTGCGAACTAGAGGGGAAAAGAAGGAAGGAAGCACAGTTTTGTATTAAGAAGCATTTGTTACATTTTACTATTAGTATTTTTGATCCATGAGCACTCAATAACTCTTGGATATGTGTCTTACAGCCCCCTACCCCCAAAAAATTGGTGCAGTGGGTTAAACCGCTGAGCTGCTGAACTTGCTGACCGAAAGGTTGGCGATTTGAATCCGGGGAGCGGGGTGAGCTACCACTGTTAGCCCCAGCTCCTGCCAATCTAGCAGTTCCAAAACATGCAAATGTGACTAGATCAATAGGTACCGCTCCGGTGGGAAGGTAATGGTGCTCCATGCAGTCATGCTGGCCACATGACCTTGGAGATGTCTGCGGACAATGCCAGCTCTTCAGCTTAGAAATGGAGATGAGCACACCCCCCCCCCCCCCCCCCCCCCCCCCCCCCCCCCCCCCAGAGTCAGACACAACGATTTAATGTCAAGGGGGAAACCCTGACCTTTGCCATATACGTCTTACATAGGTCTTCACCCCCATCCTCCATGGAAGTTAGGCAAGTTATATTTGCTATTTTTACTTTTTAAAGAAACAGAGCCAGTGATGTAGATTAGGCTTAAAGTTAATGACCAGCTCACAAGCACAGCATGAGCTTTATGGCTAAGCAGAGATTTAGACTGAATTCTCCCTGGCTCAGGGTTAGGTCTGTGCACTATAACAGCACACATGTTTCACCTCTTCTTTTTGGGATTTCTTAAGAGTGCTTTCTACAGTTGCATCAGAAAGATATGAGCAGAGTCCTGAGCCATTTTAGACTACATTGAGCTAGAATCTAGCTAGACAGTACAATGAGTTCATTGGCAATAAGGCATCTCCCTACATGCTGCAAGTCGCTTCTGGTGCATGTAGTATGTAGGAAGTGTTTGTACATGCAAGAAATCAGTTAATATGTGTGTGTCAACTGTAAAATAAGATGTATGAAGCTGATTGGTTGGGCAATGCCTGGGGAGCAGGGTGAGCCTGGAACTTTTGGATGCTGTTACATTTTTGTTCAGGCTCAAGCTATGCAAGTGCAGACAGAGACAGTTTGAATAGAGAAGCAGAGAGAGACAGTTTTTGGTGTATGCTCTCACATCATGATCTGCTGAAGGAATTGATCCACATGGACAGAGAAAGACCATTTTAAATCTCTCTCTGAAATGGCATGATGTGACTTAATGCGACTAATCACATGATTGGACATGTGATTGGTCTGAACTACGAAGAGTAAACTACTTGTTCTTTATTGTTCATCTGCATGGCATATTTTCTTTCTCTGGCAAGACAGTGTGTGGGCTGATCCAACGTGAACTACATGTGGTTATATTACGCCACAGGAAGGTGTTTTTAAATACATTATAAATGTACTCTCAATTCTCTTCTGCTATGATAAATAAAATACACTTTCCTACATTATGGTAGGAAAAAGACACAGTAAACATTTCTTTAACTAATAGCATTTCCCTGGTCTGAAATTTGTGTACAAAACAGACTCTCATGCTCTTGCATGACAGAATTTCTCACCGAGGTCATTGTTTTTAGTGATGGCTGCAGCCACCCTTGTCCTTGGACCTTGTTTAGTAAACTGGTACCCAAATTTGAGAATCTGCGAGTTCTCTTCCAGCATCTGAGCAATCTCCATCTCTACTGCTGTCCCAAGCTGTTGCCTCTAGGAAAGGAAACAAAAAGAGGTGGAAATGTTTCCTTCCGAAACAGAGAGGAGCAAACCTGGTTCATACAGTTATGTGTATCACTTGATCCCTCATTACGTTGGCGGCATCTACACTAGAATGGGCCCCCTGAGTGGCACAGAGGGTTAAACCACTGAACTACTAAACTAGCTAATTGAAAGGTCAGCAATTCAAATCCAGGAAGTGAGGCGAGCTCCCACTGTTAACCCTAGCAGTTCGAAAAGATTTTTTTTTTTGTCGTGTCAGGAGTGACTCCTGGTGTGAGAGAATTGGCCATCTGCAAGAACGTTGCCCAAGGGACGCCTGGATGATTTGATGTTTTTATCATTCTTGTGGGAGGCTTCTCTCATGTCCCCGCATGAGGAGCTGGAACTGATAGAGGGAGCTCATCCGCCTCTCCCCGGATTCCAACCTGCGACCTGTCAGTCTTCAGTCCTGCCGGCACAGGGGTTTAACCCACTGTGCCATCGGGGGCTCCTTCCAATGGGTTATTGTGCACAAACATGTTTTGCTTCTGCGAAGATAACTGCTCCATGCAGTCATGTTGGCCAGATGACCTTGGAGGTGTCTATGGACAACACCGGCTCTTTGGCTTAGAAATGGAGATGAGCGCCACCCCCCAGAGTCAGACACAACTAGACTTAATGTCAAGGGGAAACCTTTACTTTACACTAGAATGAATGCAGTTCGACACCACTTTAAACACCATAATTCAACACTATGGAATCACTGGGGTTGTTGTTTTATGTGGTCTTGAGCCTTCTCTGCCCAAAAGTGCTTGTGCTTCAACTAACTACAAATCCCAGGATGCAATGTTACTGAGTCATGGCCGTTAAAGTGGTGTCAATCTGCATTAATAATAAGACAGTGACAATGATGACAATTGCTATGGAAATGGACTATGGACATGCTTGATGGAGTCTCTAACTACAGAATTCAGCTCAGATAAGGCCACCAGGCTGTTATTGAAACAGAAACAGATTTTAATTAATTAATGTGATTTAATGTTTTAAATGTAAAATGCAATAAATGCATTTTATTATGTGTACATTGGAGGCATCCAATTGTTGCCGGCTGGAAGCCACCCTGAGTTTGAGAAGGGCGGGGTACAAACATCTGCAATAAATAAATAATAATAAATTAATTCTACAACGTAGATGCACCCAAGTCTCGTTACCAGCCCCTAAACAACACTTTCCAAGCAATGCCAATGCCAAACTGCATCTTTTAGATTCCAGCCAACAATAACTTGCATCTACTGCCTTTTGCTTACCTGGTTGTCAATTTTAATCTCTGTCAGTGTTTCATTCCCTTTCAGTGCATCGATCAAGGCAAGGATGCCTGTTCCGGTAATAAAATTGGATTCTATATTTAGGCTTTTCAGGGTCTTGTTCATTTTTAACATATCAGCAAAAGCCTGAAGGGTTGAGAAAAGTTGAGTAAGTTAGGATCTCAGGACAATCTATGATGCACACATTCACGTATATGATATGGAGTGTGGGTACATCAAAAAGTACCGTAGTTTCTCTGTATTTTGAATCCATTATTTATAATAGAAATGAATGGATTTATTAACATATTTAGTAGTTGTTTTTATATTTTCTTATTTATATTTCATTGTACACTGGCTCTAGTATGGACGGATGTTTGTACCACAAAGGCTCGTACATGGCTTGATGGATCTGGACCAAATTTGGCACAGATACTCTTTATGATCCAACTTACAATTATTATAGGGTTTCAGCTAAAACTCTACTCTGTTTTGAAGTGACGATTCCCAAAACAAAAGAAAAAAAATGCAAACAGTGCTCAAATGCAACCACAAGAGGTCAGCATATAGATCCGAGAGTTGAATCAAAAGTAATGCCTCCACCTTCGTTACTTGGGTTTGGATGGGAATATTTTAATAAATCAAATGCAGAAATAATCCTTAGAATGTGCTCTTTAGCTACCACTATTCACTTTTCCACATAATCACCAGACAATTGGATACATTTCTGCCAACGATGAACAAGTTTTCTGAAGCCATCGCGGAAGGAGTCAACACTCTGATTCTGCAACCAGCGTCTCACAGTTCTCTCAACGTCTTCGTCAGAAGCATAAGGATGTCCCCACAGATCTTCTTTCATCATCAAGTACTGATGGAAGTCAGACGGTGCTAAATCTGGACTGTATGGAGGATGTCATACGGTGGTGAGATTCAGCCTCTGAAGTTTCAAGTCTGTGCGCTTTCATTTCAGGCGTCAGGATACTGGGTACCCATCGTGCACAGATCTTCCGATAGCCAAGCAAAGCAATAATGTGAGCCACACGTTCTTGTGAAATGCCGATTATACTTGAATCTTTTCTCTGAGTGATATGACGATCATCCTGAATCAATCTGTCAACCTTTTGCTTGTGAAACTCGGTGGTTGCTGTCACAGGACATCCAACTCTTTGTTTGTCACGCAAGTCAGATGTTCCTACCTCAACATCTTTAAACTTACTCACCCAACGACGCACAATACTCACATCAACACAATCACCATCAACAGCTTGCAGTCTCTGATGAATCTCCTTTGGGTGACACCTTCTGCTGTCAAGAATTCAATGACTGCACATTGCTTAAGTCGCATTGACTGACTGTCATACTTCGCACTTTAACAACACAACTGTTCAATGCTAAAGCTTCCTGCCAAAATGGAACTGTAGAGGAAAGTCTACTGAACAAGCCAGTACCTGACGCATACCAGTACTGCCATCTGTTGAGGAGTTACGCAGGTGGAGGCATTAATTTTCATTCAACCCTTGTAGAAAAGATTAGCTACTGGTCTATCATATGTATTATACAGCACTATCTATCTATCTATCTGTAGGAATTTGTTTGTAGAATGCTCAAGTGATGCCTAGATTCTTCATTCTTAATAATATGACTAGTATTTTGGATGGTCACTGCTAAAGCTATTTGCATTCCAATTTGTGTTGGAATTCTCAAAGACAGAATTTGTTGACATTGTCGTTTCAACTTATTTAACTTATTTATTCACCACCTAACATATATAATGTTCTATGGACAATCTGCAACATTAATTACATAATTAAATACAACTGTAGAATCTTAGCCATCTTATGATTTTTCTAAGGAATAGTGCAATCAACTTACAATGGCGACAGGGTCATTGCTCCGAGTAGCTGCCAGGCTGAATTTCGTCACATGTGCATTGGTTTCCATTGCTTTTGCAAGTTCTTTCAAAGTTGGAATTGGAATATTCTGTATCACAGAAAAAATACATTTAAATACTCAAGTCTGAACACATCTCCCCTTATGAACCCTCCAGAACTTTAAGATTGTCTGGGGAGGCCCTGCTCTCGATCCCGCCTTTGTCACAAGTACGAGAGACAGGACCTTCTCAGTGGTGGCCTCTCGACTATGGAACGCCCTCCCCAGGGATATTAGATCGGCCCCTTCCTTTTAACATTTCGAAAGCAGGTCAAGACATGGCTCTTTGAGTAAACGTTTGCAGCCACAATATAACAGACATGGAGAAAAACGGAACAACTCTACGATGTTATTCGGTAACTCTTTTAACTAGGAGACTCAAATTGATATATGTTTTTCTTGATATTGATTGTTTTACTTGGTTTTATATTTAAATTGATTGTTTTCAAATTGTATTTTATGTCTTTGATATTGACTGTAAACCGCTCCGAGTCGTCTGTGGGCTGAGAGGGGCGGTATATAATTGTAGTAAATAAATAAATAAAATAAGTTGGAGGAATGTTGGGTTTGGTCTGATTTAAGTTACATTTAGAGTAGACCTATTACTATTTCAAAACTTAAGTTAGTAATGGCTTGTTCTATTGATTTCTTTGGCCATACTATAAGCCCAAGTAACTCTGGATCCAATATTTACACTAGTGAGTGTTCAGACTTGAGTCTCTATGTGTTCATACAGCCTACTGAACATTTAAATTGGCTCTCAGATGTCAGTCTGTCTCTCCATCATAACAGAGGAAACACCTTGGAAAACAAATTACAATTGTCTGTCCTTATATCCTTCATTGCGACCTGAATTAAAAGCATCAGAGTTACTTAAGATAATACTCCTCCTGTGAGAAAAATAGCACACAAAAATTCTCAAAAAGCAAGCAAGGGAAGGGTACCCGCTCCTGCTTTCTTTCGTGTTGAGCTTATTTTCGTTCCGGGGGAGGGGTCCCCATTTCGGGCTCCCACCCAAAACAAAATAAACAAAAAAAAATTCTCAAAAATTCCTGACAGTTCTTGAAAAGCAAGCAAGGAAACGGTACCTGCTCCTGCTTTCTTTTGTTTCGAGCTTATTTTCATTCTGGGGGAGGGGTTCTCATTTCGGGCTCCCACCCAAAACAAAATAAACAAATTCTCAAAAATTCTTGCCAATTCTCAAAAAGCAAGCAAACAAACGGTACCTGCTCCTGCTTTATTTCATGTCGAGCTTATTTTCATTCTAGGGGAAGGGTCCCCATTTCGGGCTCCCACCCAAAACAAAATAAACAAAAAAATTCTCAAAAAGTCTCAACAATTCTCAAAAAGCAAGCAAGGAAACGGTACCTGCTCCTGCTTTCTTTCGTTTTGAGCTTATTTTCATTCTGGGGGAGGTGTCCCTGTTTTGGGCTCCCGTCCAAAACAAAATAAACAAAAAAAGGATGAAATGGGTACGGAGCTCTGGCATGGGCTGGTCCATAAGGTCACAGAGAGTCGGAAGCGACTGAACAAATAAACAACAAAATAAATATTATGCAAATATTTGTGATGGAATGAGACAATCGTATTTCCAGACTGATAGGAGTACCTTGATGTTATTCAGGTTCACTTCCAGGAGAGTAGGATCGTTTGCCTTAATCCTTTGTAAAGTGGCTTCGACATTTGTAGGGTTGGGTGGTTCCTCAAAAATTGGCTTGACTTTTTCACCCTTGACTATGTCTGTGTGGGAAACAAATCAGTTATGCCTTGGGGTGTCATTTGCTTGTAACCAGTAATATATGAATTAGAATAATATACTATAATTTCAATGATGTCTTCATTGCAAGGTGCGAGAAATAAATGGGTCAAAGATCAAATCAAGCCTGAACTCTTCCTAGAAGCTAAGATGACTCTGGGTCCTTCCAAGCAGCCATATAACCCAAAATATCAAGGCAAAAACAATCCCATAATATCTGCTCTGAACTGGGTTATATACTCCATATATACTGCCATATACTCCAGTTCAAAGCGGATAATCTGGATTTTATATGACAGTGTAGAAATTGCCGAAGATAACTTCTTAACCATATCTATGCCATAATATTTATAATATTACAATATAATACAATATAATACTAATGATAATGATACAATATTATAATTATATATTTTATATTACATGTAATATTACTATTAATATTACAATATAATGGTATAGTACAATATAGTAATATATAATACTGATATTGTACTATGCTAATAATATAATATATTGTATGTCAACACGATCTTGACAGATTAGAGAGATGGGCCAAAACTAACAAAATGAAGTTCAACAGTGACAAATGCAAGATACTCCACTTAGGCAGAAAAAAATGAAATGCAAAGATACAGAATGGGGGACAATGCCTGGCTCGAGAGCAGAACGTGTGAAAAAGATCTTGGAGTCCTCGTGGACAACAAGTTAAACATGAGCCAACAATGTGATGTGGCGGGAAAAAAAGCCAATGGGATTTTGGCCTGCATCAATAGGAGCATAGTGTCTAGATCTAAGGAAGTAATGCTACCCCTCTATTCTGCTTTGGTTAGACCACCTGGAATATTGTGTCCAATTCTGGGCACCACAATTCAAGAGAGATATTGACAAGCTGGAATGTGTCCAGAGGAGGGCAACTAAAATGATCAAGGGTCTGGAGAACAAGCCCTATGAGGAGCAGCTTAAAGAGCTGGGCAAGTTTAGCCTGAAGAAGAGAAGGCTGAGAGGAGATATGATAGCCATGTATAAATATGTGAGAGAAAGCCACAGGGAGGAGGGAGCAAGCTTGTTTTCTGCTTCCCTGGAGACTAGGACGCGAAACAATGGCTTCAAACTACAAGAAGGGGTCCTGCTCTCGGTCCCACCTCCTTCGCAATCGCGTTTGGTGGGAACGAGGGACAGGGCCTTCTCAGTGGTGGCCCCTCGGCTCTGGAACTCCCTCCCGATGGAGATTAGATCTGCCTCTTCCCTCCTGACTTTTAGAAAGCTGGTAAAATCATGGCTTTGGGATACTGCATTTGCAGAATGATGATTGAGTCAATAACTGCTGACCTTACTGGCGGATGGCGATGAATTTGTGATTTCACTCTGAAACTGACTTTTTTGTAATGTGTATTAACTGTATTTTAATGTATCTTATATTGATGATGTATATTTTCTTTGATCTTATTGCATTGAATCCTCTGTTGTTAGCCGACCTGAGTCCCTCTCCAGAGGTCAAGAAGACCGGGTTATAAAAACTCTAAATAATAATAATAATAATAATAATAAGAAGAAGAAGAAGAAGAAGAAGAAGAAGAAGAAGAAGAAGAAAGAAGATTCCATCTGAACATGAGGAAGAACTTCCTGACTGTCAGAGCCGTTCAGCAGTGGAACTCTCTGCCCGGAGTGTGGTGGAGGCTCCTTCTTTGGAAGCTTTTAAACAGAGGCTGGATGGCCATCTGTCAGGGGTGATTTGAATGCAATATTCCTGCTTCTTGGCAGGGGGTTGGACTGGATGGCCCATGAGATCTCTTCCAACTCTTTGATTCTGTGATTCTATGATTCTATGATTCTCGTAAGCAGAGGCGGCCCTAGGTAATTTTCAATGGTAAGCAGAGTATTTTGGTGCCCCCCCCCAAAAAAAAAACCCAATTACACACACACACACACACATATGGGCATGGACAAATTTTGGTCCTCCAGGGGTTTCGGACTTCAACTCCCACCATTCCTAACAGCCTCTGGCCCCTTCCTTTCACCCTTTTCCTGCTTAAGCGGCTGAGGGGGAAAAGGAAAGGGCCTGAGGCTGTTAGGAATGGTGGGAATTGAAGTCCAAAACCCCTGGAGGGCCAGAATTTACCCACACCTGGTGTAGAGCCAGCCTATATTTTTGCATACAAACATTAGCATGAGTCATGGAAATGGGGTGTTTTGAGTGTGTCATGTTCTTGCGAGTAACACTACAATTCCAAAAATCTGGTGATGCACTCTCCACTGTGAGTGAAGGAGAGGCCAAAGAGCAATGGAAAGCCAAGACTTTGTCCTGAGGTTCTCTCTTCTTGGAAAGTCCAGTTTTGCACTAACACAGCCGCATGACCTGCAGCATCTCCTGAAAGCCTCGTTTCACAAGGCGAAGGAAGGCTTGAGAAAGGGTGGGGTGGGGAAGAAAGCAGGGTGCCAAGGCACGCAAGAGCACTCACAAACTGCCCAAGAAAAGGCTGAGGACAGAGGCCAGACACTTTGGAAAAGTCAAAGGGTGCATCTACACTGTAGAAGCAAAGCAGTTTGACACCACTTTAACTGCCGTGCCTCAATGCTCTGGAATCCTGGGAGTTTAAGATTCGTAAGGTCTTGAGCCATCTTTTCCAAAGACTAGTGCCTCACCAGCCTACTGGGTGCATATACACTGTAGCCTTAATGCAGTTTCATAGACTCCTAGAGTTGGAAGAGACCTCATAGGCCATCCAGTCCAACCCCCTATGATGAAAATAGTCTCATCCATGCACAGAGGCACTCTCTTAAGGACCTCAATTGGATGGCCATAAAAATACTTGCTACGTCCCTGCCATACTTGCTTTTTTTTTTTTTGTCGTGTCAGGAGCAACCGCTCCTGTTGTGAAAGAATTGGCCGTCTGCAAGGACGTTGCCCAGGGGATGCCCGGATGATTTTGATGTTTTATCATCCTAGTGAGAGGCTTCTCTCATGTCCCCGCATGAGGAGCTGGAGCTAATAGAGGGAGCTCATCCGCCTCTCCCCAGATTTGAACCTGCGACCTGTCGGTCTTCAGTCCTGCCGGCACAGTGCTTTAACCCACTGCGCCACTTGCTGAATGCCTTGGTCCCTCACCAAACTACAATACTTTAGCCTTCTTTGTAAGTGCTGGTGCTCCACTAAACTACACTTCTCCAGGATTCCATAGCATTGACTCCTGGCACCTAAAAGTGGGGTCATAATGCATTAACTTTACAGTGTTAGATGCACCCAAGGTTTTTAGCCTTTCTTACTAAAATGCTGCCTCACCAAAAAAAAAATTACGTGTTAGGAATGACTTGAGAAACTGAAATTCCTGGTATTGAGCCATGGCTGTTAAAAGTCAGCCAGACTACATTCATTGACAGTGGAGATGCACTCTGAATTGCAAAGAAAATACAGTCTTACCTATACAGAGAGGGTAAGACTCTTCCTTAGGACCTCATTTGGATGGCCATAACGATTGCAATACTTGTAACAGAGTGCTGGTGCCTCACCAAAACACAAGTCCTAGCATTGAGCCATGGCAATTAAAAGTGAGACTCAACTGCATTAATTCTACAGTGTGGAAGCACCCAACACCTCCCAGAATTCCCTAGCATTGAGCCATGGCACTTAAAAGTGGCGCCAACTCAGACATGGACAAGTTTTGGCCCTCTGGGTGTTTTGGACTTCAACTCCCACCATTCCTAACAGCCTCAGGTCCTTGAACAGCCTTTTCCCCTTCAGCTGCTTAAGCAGGAAAAGGGAGGAAAGGAAGGGGCCTGAGGCTGTTAGGAATGATGGGAGTTGAAGTCAAAAATGCCTAGAGGGCCAAAGTTTGCCAATGTCAGGGCTAACTTCATTAATTCTAAACTGTTGATGCACCTAAGATCTTTAGCCTTCTTTACCAAAGCGTCCTGGTGCCTCCAGGATTCCCTAGTATTTATTTATTTATGGTATCAGACCAAACCAAGGGTACCTTTGTACTGGATTTAAAAGAAAACATGCACACAATCAAAGTTTGAAAACTTGGCATTATATTATATAATTTATTTATTTACGGCATTTATATGCCGCCCTTCTCACCCTGAAGGGGACTCAGAGCGGCTTACAAGATATATATGCATACAATATATTATAATATTATTAGTAATATTAAATGTAATATAAAATATATTATATTTTATATTACTGGGAGCCCCCGGTGGTGCAGAGGGTTAAAGCACTAAGCTGCTAAGCTTGTTGACCAAAAGGTCGCAGGTTCGAATCCAGAGAGTGGCATGAGCTTCTGCTGTTAGCCCCAGCTTCTGCCAACCTAGCAGTTTGAAAACATGCAAATGTGAGTAGATCAATAGGTACCGCTCCGGTGGGAAGGTAATGGTGCTCCATGCAGTCATGCTGGCCACATGACTTTGGAGGTGTCTATGGACAATGCCAGCTCTTTGGCTTAGAAATGGAGATGAGCATCAACCCCCAGAGTTGGACACGACTGGACTTAATGTCAGGGGAAAACCTTTACTATAAAATATATAATTATTATTTTGTATTATTATTAGTAGTATTATATTACATTATAATATTATAAATATTATATGAACACACAATATTAAATATCCTGGACTGGCTGGAAAGCCTGGGGCTGGATTTCAAGCCTTTTGCAGAAACCACAGCTCGTGGAGAGGGAAAGGGAGAGGAGGAGAAACTTGGGAAACTAGGAAACGCTCCATATTATCCAGATCTGACGCTTTACAAACCTCGAGAGCTTCGGGAAGATCTCGACGGAAAGTCTCTCCTTCCACGGAAGAAAAGGACGCGGGAAGGGAAAGGAAAAGAGAAGAAGTGAAGCCTGCTCTTGAAAAGGATTGGGGGGGGGGGGGGGGGGAGAGAGAGAGAGAGAGAAGGAAGGGGAAAGGAAAGGAATCTTGCTCTTGGAAAGGCCGAGGGGACGGGAGAGAGAGAGAGGGGGGGAGGGAGAAGGGAAAGGAAGAGAAGAGAAGGGAAGCCTGCTCTTCGGGCAAACCATTTGCTGCAAGCCAAAGAGAAGCAGGAGGGAGCAACAACAAAGAGTTCAGCCCCTGAAGGCAACACACCAACACCTCAGGACTCCTCGCGACACCAGGGAGAAATCTCTGCTCGTCCCAAAGTAGTGGGAGGAGGAAGAGAACGAAGAGGAGAAGCCATATTCCAAGCCTTTCCTCCCCAAAACATTGCAGAAAAGTAACCAAATGGGAATGAGTTTCCCACACCAAGTCACGGATTGTGGCCAAACTGAGACTCCAACTCCCGAACCCAATGAAGGGGAAAGACAGGCAGAAGAGGGGTCTGTCCCTTTGCCCCTCCCACGGCTCTCCTTTTGCCCACTTTGCCCCCTCTTCTTTCGCCAGCCCTCCCCAGGTCAGGAAGCGCCATATTGATCTTCCTCATGCTCTCCACTGAGTCCCCCATCAGTTCTCGTTTCCCCCGAAGGCCATGAATGGAGCTCCGAGCGCCCCCCCCACATACCGGTCTAACAAAGTTAATGTGCCTCATGGTTCGATGTCATCTACGGTACTGCGTGGTGGGTGATGTTAGCGCCAGGGTGGCGACTCGGTTGCGTCGTCCTTGGGTCTTTTACGGAGGCGCCCGGAGGCGCCCCGGAAAGTGACGATGGGACTGAGGTGAGTAAAACAGTGTTGGCTTTGCTGCTTTCTGTAGCTCATTGAATAACATTTTGCTCCAGGCAAGAAAATGTGGATTGTATTCACCAAATATAAATGGGAAAAGTTACAATTTTTACTATGCACTAACAGGGCCGGTTCTTCCATTACGCTAAGTAAGCGGTTGCGGAATAGTTTGTTTTTCCAGGGGCGCCTCGGCGCCTCCGTAAATGCCCCTCCACAGTTGCGAGTCGCAATCTTTCTCTGCCTCCAGAGGCGGCTCAAGGCAAATTACACTTTTGCTTAGACCGCGCGTCTTGGGGGGGGGGGCGCTCTTGAGCTCCCACTCATGGCCTTCGGGGGAAACGAGAACTGATGGGGGACTCAGTGGAGAGCATGAGGAAGATCAATATGGCGCTTCCTGACCTGGGGAGGGCTGGCGAAAGAAGAGGGGGCAAAGTGTGCAAAAGGAGAGCCGTGGGAGGGGCAAAGGGACAGACCCCTCTTCTGCCTGTCTTTCCCCTTCATTGGGTTCGGGAGTTGGAGTCTCAGTTTGGCCACAATCCGTGACTTGGTGTGGGAAACTCATTCCCATTTGGTTACTTTTCTGCAATGTTTTGGGGAGGAAAGGCTTGGAATATGGCTTCTCCTCTTCGTTCTCTTCCTCCTCCCACTACTTTGGGACGAGCAGAGATTTCTCCCTGGTGTCGCGAGGAGTCCTGAGGTGTTGGTGTGTTGCCTTCAGGGACTGAACTCTTTGTTGTTGCTCCCTCCTGCTTCTCTTTGGCTTGCAGCAAATGGTTTGCCCGAAGAGCAGGCTTCCCTTCTCTTCTCTTCCTTTCCCTTCTCCCTCCCTCTCTCTCTCTCTCTCTCCCGTCCCCTCGGCCTTTCCAAGAGCAAGATTCCTTTCCTTTCCTTTCCCCTTCCTTCTCTCTCTCTCTCCTCCCTCTTCCTCTTCTTCTTTCCTTTCCCCTTCCTTCTCTCTCTCTCCCCCCCCCCCCATCCTTTTCAAGAGCAGGCTCCACTTCTTCTCTTTTCCTTTCCCTTCTCCCTCCCGCGTCCTTTTCTTCCGTGGAAGGAGAGACTTTCCGTCGAGATCTTCCCGAAGCTCTCGAGGTTTGTAAAGCGTCAGATCTGGATAATATGGAGCGTTTCCTAGTTTCCCAAGTTCTCCTCCTCTCCCTTTCCCTCTCCACGAGCTGTGGTTTCTGCAAAAGGCTTGAAATCCAGCCCCAGGCTTTCCAGCCAGTCCAGGATATTTAATATTGTGTGTTCATATAATATTTATAATATTATAATGTAATATAATACTACTACTAATAATACAAAATAATAATTATATATTTTATAGTAAAGGTTTTCCCCTGACATTAAGTCCAGCGTGTCCAACTCTGGGGGTTGATGCTCATCTCCATTTCTAAGCCAAAGAGCTGGCATTGTCTGTAGACACCTCCAAGGTCATGTGGGCAGCATGACTGCATGGAGCACCATTACCTGCCCACCGGAGCAGTACTATTGATCTACTCACATTTGCATGTTTTCAAACTGCTAGGTTGGCAGAAGCTGGGGCTAACAGCAGAAGCTCATGCCACTCTCTGGATTCGAACCTGCGACCTTTTGGTCAACAAGCTTAGCAGCTTCGTGCTTTAACCCTCTGCACCACTGGGGGCTCCCAGTAATATAAAATATAATATATTTTATATTACATTTAATATTACTAATAATATTATAATATATTGTATGCATATATATCTTGTAAGCCGCTCTGAGTCCCCTTCAGGGTGAGAAGGGCGGCATATAAATGCCGTAAATAAATAAATTATATAATATAATGCCAAGTTTTCAAACTTTGATTGTGTGCATGTTTTCTTTTAAATCCAGTACAAAGGTACCCTTGGTTTGGTCTGATACCATAAATAAATAAATACTAGGGAATCCTGGAGGCACCAGGACGCTTTGGTAAAGAAGGCTAAAGATCTTAGGTGCATCAACAGTTTAGAATTAATGAAGTTAGCCCTGACATTGGCAAACTTTGGCCCTCTAGGCATTTTTGACTTCAACTCCCATCATTCCTAACAGCCTCAGGCCCCTTCCTTTCCTCCCTTTTCCTGCTTAAGCAGCTGAAGGGGAAAAGGCTGTTCAAGGACCTGAGGCTGTTAGGAATGGTGGGAGTTGAAGTCCAAAACACCCAGAGGGCCAAAACTTGTCCATGTCTGAGTTGGCGCCACTTTTAAGTGCCATGGCTCAATGCTAGGGAATTCTGGGAGGTGTTGGGTGCTTCCACACTGTAGAATTAATGCAGTTGAGTCTCACTTTTAATTGCCATGGCTCAATGCTAGGACTTGTGTTTTGGTGAGGCACCAGCACTCTGTTACAAGTATTGCAATCGTTATGGCCATCCAAATGAGGTCCTAAGGAAGAGTCTTACCCTCTCTGTATAGGTAAGACTGTATTTTCTTTGCAATTCAGAGTGCATCTCCACTGTCAATGAATGTAGTCTGGCTGACTTTTAACAGCCATGGCTCAATACCAGGAATTTCAGTTTCTCAAGTCATTCCTGACACGTAAATTTTTTTTTGGTGAGGCAGCATTTTAGTAAGAAAGGCTAAAAACCTTGGGTGCATCTAACACTGTAAAGTTAATGCATTATGACCCCACTTTTAGGTGCCAGGAGTCAATGCTATGGAATCCTGGAGAAGTGTAGTTTAGTGGAGCACCAGCACTTACAAAGAAGGCTAAAGTATTGTAGTTCGGTGAGGGACCAAGGCATTCAGCAAGTGGCGCAGTGGGTTAAAGCACTGTGCCGGCAGGACTGAAGACCGACAGGTCGCAGGTTCGAATCCGGGGAGAGGCGGATGAGCTCCCTCTATCAGCTCCAGCTCCTCATGCGGGGACATGAGAGAAGCCTCCCACTAGGATGATAAAACATCAAATCATCCGGGCATCCCCTGGGCAACGTCCTTGCAGACGGCCAATTCTTTCACAACAGGAGCGGTTGCTCCTGACACGACAAAAAAAAAAAAAGCAAGTATGGCAGGGACGTAGCAAGTATTTTTATGGCCATCCAATTGAGGTCCTTAAGAGAGTGCCTCTGTGCATGGATGAGACTATTTTCATCATAGGGGGTTGGACTGGATGGCCTATGAGGTCTCTTCCAACTCTAGGAGTCTATGAAACTGCATTAAGGCTACAGTGTATATGCACCCAGTAGGCTGGTGAGGCACTAGTCTTTGGAAAAGATGGCTCAAGACCTTACGAATCTTAAACTCCCAGGATTCCAGAGCATTGAGGCACGGCAGTTAAAGTGGTGTCAAACTGCTTTGCTTCTACAGTGTAGATGCACCCTTTGACTTTTCCAAAGTGTCTGGCCTCTGTCCTCAGCCTTTTCTTGGGCAGTTTGTGAGTGCTCTTGCGTGCCTTGGCACCCTGCTTTCTTCCCCACCCCACCCTTTCTCAAGCCTTCCTTCGCCTTGTGAAACGAGGCTTTCAGGAGATGCTGCAGGTCATGCGGCTGTGTTAGTGCAAAACTGGACTTTCCAAGAAGAGAGAACCTCAGGACAAAGTCTTGGCTTTCCATTGCTCTTTGGCCTCTCCTTCACTCACAGTGGAGAGTGCATCACCAGATTTTTGGAATTGTAGTGTTACTCGCAAGAACATGACACACTCAAAACACCCCATTTCCATGACTCATGCTAATGTTTGTATGCAAAAATATAGGCTGGCTCTACACCAGGTGTGGGTAAATTCTGGCCCTCCAGGGGTTTTGGACTTCAATTCCCACCATTCCTAACAGCCTCAGGCCCTTTCCTTTTCCCCCTCAGCCGCTTAAGCAGGAAAAGGGTGAAAGGAAGGGGCCAGAGGCTATTAGGAATGGTGGGAGTTGAAGTCCGAAACCCCTGGAGGACCAAAATTTGTCCATGCCCATATGTGTGTGTGTGTGTGTGTAATTGGGTTTTTTTTTTGGGGGGGGGCACCAAAATACTCTGCTTACCATTGAAAATTACCTAGGGCCGCCTCTGCTTACGAGTACCCAAAGCAAGAATCACAGAATCAAGAGTTGGAAGAGACCTCATGGGCCATCCAGTCCAACCCCCTGCCAAGAAGCAGGAATATTGCATTCAAAGCATCCCTGACGGATGGCCATCCAGCCTCTGTTTAAAGGCCTCCAAAGAAGGAGCCTCCACCACACTCCGGGGCAGAGAGTTCCACTGCTGAATGGCTTTGACAGTCAGGAAGTTCTTCCTAATGTTCAGATGGAATCTTCTTTCTTGTAGTTTGAAGCCATTGTTCTGCATCCTATTCTTCCTTTATTATTATTTATTATTATATTTTTATAACCCGGTCTTCTCGACCTCTGGAGAGGGACTCAGGTCGGCTAACAACAGAGGATTCAATGCAATAAGATCAAAGAAAATATACATCATCAATATAAGATACATTAAAATACAGTTAATACACATTACAAAAAAGTCAGTTTGTCAGAGTGAAATCACAAATTCATCACCATCCGCCAGTAGGTCAACAGTTATTGACTCAATCATCATTCTGCAAATGCAGTATCAATCATCATTCTGCAAATGCAGCTTTCTAAAAGTTAGGAGGGAAGAGGCAGATCTAATCTCCATCGGGAGGGGGCTCCAGTGCCGAGGGGCCACCACTGAGAAGGCCCTGTCCCTCGTTCCCACCAAACGCGATTGCGAAGGAGGTGGGACCGAGAGCAGGACCCCTTCTTGTAGTTTGAAGCCATTATTCCGCGTCCTAGTCTCCAGGGAAGCAGAAAACAAGCTTGCTCCCTCCTCTTCCCTGTGGCTTTCTCTCACATATTTATACATGGCTATCATATCTCCTCTCAGCCTTCTCTTCTTCAGGCTAAACATGCCCAGCTCCTTAAGCCGCTCCTCATAGGGCTTGTTCTCCAGACCCTTGATCGTTTTAGTCGCCCTCCTCTGGACACATTCCAGCTTGTCAATATCTCTCTTCAATTGTGGTGCCCAGAATTGGACACAATATTCCAGGTGTGGTCTAACCAAAGCGAATAGAGGGGTAGCATTACTTCCCTGGATCTAGGCACTAGGCTCCTATTGATGCAGGCCAAAATCCCATTGGCTTTTTTTCCCGCCACATCACATTGTTGGCTCATGTTTAAAGTAAAAATTGGGTTTTTTTTGCCACCACATCACATTGTTGGCTCATGTTTAACTTGTTTTCCACGAGGACTCCAAGATCTTTTTCACACGTACTGCTCTCGAGCCAGGCTCGTCCCCCATTCTGTATCTTTGCATTTCATTTTTTCTGCCAAAGTGGAGTATCTTGCATTTGTCACTGTTGAACTTCATTTTGTTAGTTTTGGCCCATCTCTCTAATCTGTCAAGATCGTGTTGACATACAATATATTATATTATTAGCATAGCACAAAATCAGTATTATATATTACTATATTGTACTATGCCATTATATTGTAATATTAATAGTAATATTACATGTAATATAAAATATATAATTATAATATTGTATCATTATCATTAGTATTATATTGTATTATATTGTAATATTATAAATATTATGGCATAGATATGGTTAAGAAGTTATCTTCGGCAATTTCTACACTGTCATATAAAATCCAGATTATCCGCTTTGAACTGGAGTATATGGCAGTATATATGGAGTATATAACCCAGTTCAGAGCAGATATTATGGGATTGTTTTTGCCTTGATATTTTGGGTTATATGGCTGCTTGGAAGGACCCAGAGTCATCTTAGCTTCTAGGAAGAGTTCAGGCTTGATTTGATCTTTGACCCATTTATTTCTCGCACCTTGCAATGAAGACATCATTGAAATTATAGTATATTATTCTAATTCATATATTACTGGTTACAAGCAAATGACACCCCAAGGCATAACTGATTTGTTTCCCACACAGACATAGTCAAGGGTGAAAAAGTCAAGCCAATTTTTGAGGAACCACCCAACCCTACAAATGTCGAAGCCACTTTACAAAGGATTAAGGCAAACGATCCTACTCTCCTGGAAGTGAACCTGAATAACATCAAGGTACTCCTATCAGTCTGGAAATATGATTGTCTCATTCCATCACAAATATTTGCATAATATTTATTTTGTTGTTTATTTGTTCAGTCGCTTCCGACTCTCTGTGACCTTATGGACCAGCCCATGCCAGAGCTCCGTACCCATTTCATCCTTTTTTTGTTTATTTTGTTTTGGACGGGAGCCCAAAACAGGGACACCTCCCCCAGAATGAAAATAAGCTCAAAATGAAAGAAAGCAGGAGCAGGTACCGTTTCCTTGCTTGCTTTTTGAGAATTGTTGAGACTTTTTGAGAATTTTTTTGTTTATTTTGTTTTGGGTGGGAGCCCGAAATGGGGACCCTTCCCCTAGAATGAAAATAAGCTCGACATGAAAGAAAGCAAGAGCAGGTACAGTTTGTTTGCTTGCTTTTCGAGAATTGGCAATAATTTTTGTGAATTTGTTTATTTTGTTTTGGGTGGGAGCCCGAAATGAGAACCCCTCCCCCAGAATGAAAATAAGCTCGAAACAAAAGAAAGCAGGAGCAGGTACCGTTTCCTTGCTTGCTTTTCAAGAACTGTCAGGAATTTTTGAGAATTTTTTTTTGTTTATTTTGTTTTGGGTGGGAGCCCGAAATGGGGACCCCTCCCCCGGAACGAAAATAAGCTCAACACGAAAGAAAGCAGGAGCGGGTACCCTTCCCTTGCTTGCTTTTTGAGAATTTTCGTGTGCTATTTTTCTCACAGGAGCAGTATTATCTTAAGTAACTCTGATGCTTTTAATTCAGGTCGCAGTGAAGGATATAAGGACAGACAATTGTAATTTGTTTTCCAAGGTGTTTCCTCTGTTATGATGGAGAGACAGACTGACATCTGAGAGCCAATTTAAATGTTCAGTAGGCTGTATGAACACATAGAGACTCAAGTCTGAACACTCACTAGTGTAAATATTGGATCCAGAGTTACTTGGGCTTATAGTATGGCCAAAGAAATCAATAGAACAAGCCATTACTAACTTAAGTTTTGAAATAGTAATAGGTCTACTCTAAATGTAACTTAAATCAGACCAAACCCAACATTCCTCCAACTTATTTTATTTATTTATTTACTACAATTATATACCGCCCCTCTCAGCCCACAGACGACTCGGAGCGGTTTACAGTCAATATCAAAGACATAAAATACAATTTGAAAACAATCAATTTAAATATAAAACCAAGTAAAACAATCAATATCAAGAAAAACATATATCAATTTGAGTCTCCTAGTTAAAAGAGTTACCGAATAACATCGTAGAGTTGTTCCGTTTTTCTCCATGTCTGTTATATTGTGGCTGCAAACGTTTACTCAAAGAGCCATGTCTTGACCTGCTTTCGAAATGTTAAAAGGGAAGGGGCCGATCTAATATCCCTGGGGAGGGCGTTCCATAGTCGAGAGGCCACCACTGAGAAGGTCCTGTCTCTCGTACTTGTGACAAAGGCGGGATCGAGAGCAGGGCCTCCCCAGACAATCTTAAAGTTCTGGAGGGTTCATAAGGGGAGATGTGTTCAGACTTGAGTATTTAAATGTATTTTTTCTGTGATACAGAATATTCCAATTCCAACTTTGAAAGAACTTGCAAAAGCAATGGAAACCAATGCACATGTGACGAAATTCAGCCTGGCAGCTACTCGGAGCAATGACCCTGTCGCCATTGTAAGTTGATTGCACTATTCCTTAGAAAAATCATAAGATGGCTAAGATTCTACAGTTGTATTTAATTATATAATTAATGTTGCAGATTGTCCATAGAACATTATATATGTTAGGTGGTGAATAAATAAGTTAAATAAGTTGAAACGACAATGTCAACAAATTCTGTCTTTGAGAATTCCAACACAAATTGGAATGCAAATAGCTTTAGCAGTGACCATCCAAAATACTAGTCATATTATTAAGAATGAAGAATCTAGGCATCACTTGAGCATTCTACAAACAAATTCCTACAGATAGATAGATAGATAGTGCTGTATAATACATATGATAGACCAGTAGCTAATCTTTTCTACAAGGGTTGAATGAAAATTAATGCCTCCACCTGCGTAACTCCTCAACAGATGGCAGTACTGGTATGCGTCAGGTACTGGCTTGTTCAGTAGACTTTCCTCTACAGTTCCATTTTGGCAGGAAGCTTTAGCATTGAACAGTTGTGTTGTTAAAGTGCGAAGTATGACAGTCAGTCAATGCGACTTAAGCAACGTGCAGTCATTGAATTCTTGACAGCAGAAGGTGTCACCCCAAAGGAGATTCATCAGAGAATGCAAGCTGTTGATGGTGATTGTGTTGATGTGAGTACTGTGCGTCGTTGGGCGAGTAAGTTTAAAGATGTTGAGGTGGGAACATCTGACTTGCGTGACAAACAAAGAGTTGGACGTCCTGTGACAGCAACCACCGAGTTTCACAAGCAAAAGGTTGACTGATTGATTCAGGATGATCGTCGTATCACTCAGAGAGAAATTTCAAGCATAATCGGCATTTCACAAGAACGTGTGGCTCACATTATTGCTTTGCTTGGCTATCGGAAGATCTGTGCACGATGGGTACCCAGTATCCTGACGCCTGAAATGAAAGCGCACAGACTTGAAACTTCAGAGGCTGAATCTCACCACCGTATGACATCCTCCATACAGTCCAGATTTAGCACCGTCTGACTTCCATCAGTACTTGATGATGAAAGAAGATCTGTGGGGACATCCTTATGCTTCTGACGAAGACGTTGAGAGAACTGTGAGACGCTGGTTGCAGAATCAGAGTGTTGACTCCTTCCGCGATGGCTTCAGAAAACTTGTTCATCGTTGGCAGAAATGTATCCAATTGTCTGGTGATTATGTGGAAAAGTGAATAGTGGTAGCTAAAGAGCACATTCTAAGGATTATTTCTGCATTTGATTTATTAAAATATTCCCATCCAAACCCAAGTAACGAAGGTGGAGGCATTACTTTTGATTCAACTCTCGGATCTATATGCTGACCTCTTGTGGTTGCATTTGAGCACTGTTTGCATTTTTTTTCTTTTGTTTTGGGAATCGTCACTTCAAAACAGAGTAGAGTTTTAGCTGAAACCCTATAATAATTGTAAGTTGGATCATAAAGAGTATCTGTGCCAAATTTGGTCCAGATCCATCAAGCCATGTACGAGCCTTTGTGGTACAAACATCCGTCCATACTAGAGCCAGTGTACAATGAAATATAAATAAGAAAATATAAAAACAACTACTAAATATGTTAATAAATCCATTCATTTCTATTATAAATAATGGATTCAAAATACAGAGAAACTACGGTACTTTTTGATGTACCCACACTCCATATCATATACGTGAATGTGTGCATCATAGATTGTCCTGAGATCCTAACTTACTCAACTTTTCTCAACCCTTCAGGCTTTTGCTGATATGTTAAAAGTGAACAAGACCCTGAAAAGCCTAAATATAGAATCCAATTTTATTACCGGAACAGGCATCCTTGCCTTGATCGATGCACTGAAAGGGAATGAAACACTGACAGAGATTAAAATTGACAACCAGGTAAGCAAAAGGCAGTAGATGCAAGTTATTGTTGGCTGGAATCTAAAAGATGCAGTTTGGCATTGGCATTGCTTGGAAAGTGTTGTTTAGGGGCTGGTAACGAGACTTGGGTGCATCTACGTTGTAGAATTAATTTATTATTATTTATTTATTGCAGATGTTTGTACCCCGCCCTTCTCAAACTCAGGGTGGCTTCCAGCCGGCAACAATTGGATGCCTCCAATGTACACATAATAAAATGCATTTATTGCATTTTACATTTAAAACATTAAATCACATTAATTAATTAAAATCTGTTTCTGTTTCAATAACAGCCTGGTGGCCTTATCTGAGCTGAATTCTGTAGTTAGAGACTCCATCAAGCATGTCCATAGTCCATTTCCATAGCAATTGTCATCATTGTCACTGTCTTATTATTAATGCAGATTGACACCACTTTAACGGCCATGACTCAGTAACATTGCATCCTGGGATTTGTAGTTAGTTGAAGCACAAGCACTTTTGGGCAGAGAAGGCTCAAGACCACATAAAACAACAACCCCAGTGATTCCATAGTGTTGAATTATGGTGTTTAAAGTGGTGTCGAACTGCATTCATTCTAGTGTAAAGTAAAGGTTTCCCCTTGACATTAAGTCTAGTTGTGTCTGACTCTGGGGGGTGGCGCTCATCTCCATTTCTAAGCCAAAGAGCCGGTGTTGTCCATAGACACCTCCTAGGTCATGTGGCCAGCATGACTGCATGGATTGCCATTAAAATGAAGAACAATTTTAACAAATGTAAACTTATTAGTATTTCAATGGAGCCCCCGGTGGCGCAGTGGGTTAAACCCCTGTGCCGGCAGGACTGAAGACCGACAGGTCGCAGGTTCGAATCCGGGGAGAGGCGGAGGAGCTCCCTCTATCAGCTCCAGCTCCTCATGCGGGGACATGAGAGAAGCCTCCCACAAGGATGATAAAAACATCAAATCATCCAGGCGTCCCCTGGGCAACGTCCTTGCAGATGGCCAATTCTCTCACACCAGGAGTCACTCCTGACACGACAAAAAAAAAAATCTTTTCGAACTGCTAGGGTTAACAGTGGGAGCTCGCCTCACTTCCTGGATTTGAATTGCTGACCTTTCAATTAGCTAGTTTAGTAGTTCAGTGGTTTAACCCTCTGTGCCACTCAGGGGGCCCATTCTAGTGTAGATGCCGCCAACGTAATGAGGGATCAAGTGATACACATAACTGTATGAACCAGGTTTGCTCCTCTCTGTTTCGGAAGGAAACATTTCCACCTCTTTTTGTTTCCTTTCCTAGAGGCAACAGCTTGGGACAGCAGTAGAGATGGAGATTGCTCAGATGCTGGAAGAGAACTCGCAGATTCTCAAATTTGGGTACCAGTTTACTAAACAAGGTCCAAGGACAAGGGTGGCTGCAGCCATCACTAAAAACAATGACCTCGGTGAGAAATTCTCAGTCATGCAAGAGCATGAGAGTCTGTTTTGTACACAAATTTCAGACCAGGGAAATGCTATTAGTTAAAGAAATGTTTACTGTGTCTTTTTCCTACCATAATGTAGGAAAGTGTATTTTATTTATCATAGCAGAAGAGAATTGAGAGTACATTTATAATGTATTTAAAAACACCTTCCTGTGGCGTAATATAACCACATGTAGTTCACGTTGGATCAGCCCACACACTGTCTTGCCAGAGAAAGAAAATATGCCATGCAGATGAACAATAAAGAACAAGTAGTTTACTCTTCGTAGTTCAGACCAATCACATGTCCAATCATGTGATTAGTCGCATTAAGTCACATCATGCCATTTCAGAGAGAGATTTAAAATGGTCTTTCTCTGTCCATGTGGATCAATTCCTTCAGCAGATCATGATGTGAGAGCATACACCAAAAACTGTCTCTCTCTGCTTCTCTATTCAAACTGTCTCTGTCTGCACTTGCATAGCTTGAGCCTGAACAAAAATGTAACAGCATCCAAAAGTTCCAGGCTCACCCTGCTCCCCAGGCATTGCCCAACCAATCAGCTTCATACATCTTATTTTACAGTTGACACACACATATTAACTGATTTCTTGCATGTACAAACACTTCCTACATACTACATGCACCAGAAGCGACTTGCAGCATGTAGGGAGATGCCTTATTGCCAATGAACTCATTGTACTGTCTAGCTAGATTCTAGCTCAATGTAGTCTAAAATGGCTCAGGACTCTGCTCATATCTTTCTGATGCAACTGTAGAAAGCACTCTTAAGAAATCCCAAAAAGAAGAGGTGAAACATGTGTGCTGTTATAGTGCACAGACCTAACCCTGAGCCAGGGAGAATTCAGTCTAAATCTCTGCTTAGCCATAAAGCTCATGCTGTGCTTGTGAGCTGGTCATTAACTTTAAGCCTAATCTACATCACTGGCTCTGTTTCTTTAAAAAGTAAAAATAGCAAATATAACTTGCCTAACTTCCATGGAGGATGGGGGTGAAGACCTATGTAAGACGTATATGGCAAAGGTCAGGGTTTCCCCCTTGACATTAAATCGTTGTGTCTGACTCTGGGGGGGGGGTGCTCATCTCCATTTCTAAGAGCCAGAGTTGTCTGTAGACATCTCCAAGGTCATGTGGCCAGCATGACTGCATGGAGCACCATTACCTTCCCACCGGAGCGGTACCTATTGATCTAGTCACATTTGCATGTTTTGGAACTGCTAGATTGGCAGGAGCTGGGGCTAACAGTGGTAGCTCACCCCGCTCCCCGGATTCAAATCGCCAACCTTTCGGTCAGCAAGTTCAGCAGCTCAGCGGTTTAACCCACTGCACCAATTTTTTGGGGGTAGGGGGCTGTAAGACACATATCCAAGAGTTATTGAGTGCTCATGGATCAAAAATACTAATAGTAAAATGTAACAAATGCTTCTTAATACAAAACTGTGCTTCCTTCCTTCTTTTCCCCTCTAGTTCGCAAGAAGCGAGTAGAAGGAGACCGCCACTAGTCTTGCCTAAGAAGACATGGCCAAGCTACCTGTCAAAGAGTTCTGTTCCATCCACGAGCCGAGAAAATCCACTGGTCTTAAGGGGAGACACTGGAAAGTCTTTAGAATGAGGCTACTCATGTTCCGTTACGCTCACCCCTGCCCTTATATTTTCAATGGAATAGTCCAGGCTGATTTTCTTTTCTTTTTTCAAAGACATATTTTTCGAATCAGTTATGTAAAGCCAACATGCATACATATGGCTTCTTATAAAACCTCTAAAATTACTCTGGTCCAATGGTTATGGACCTAGAACAGGATCCTTTTGTGGTCAGACCCTACTAATGCTCCAGTCCAAATTTTACTTGCACAAATAAGAAAAATTCCCTGCAATGCATTCTTTTTGTGATGCAGTTCTATATCAGTTGTTCCAATTTGGGAAATATATCCTCATGCTCTGAATTCAGGTCACTCAGAACTCTGGGGCAGGTCCTAGCATAGGTACCCAAATTGATATTCCTTTGCTAATGAATGAGAATCACAAACCCAATCGGTGAAACAAATGGGACTTGGGGATGACTATGTTTTGTGTGTTTCTCAGTCTTATATTCCATCATTCCATCCTGCTGCAAAGTAGGGATAGATCCACTTTGTGTCCACTATACTGATCACTTTATATGTGAGTCTTTGTACACAGCACGGAGTTGTAAGTGACAAAGAGGTCATGTTAAGACACTTTGAGGCAGGGCCATTTTTCTACCAGCAGCCTTCCTTTACCAAATAGGTCAGGCTTTGATATCCAGACTACAATGTGCCATAGAGATCCACTGCCGGGAAGAGTTTGCTGAGCAAAGCGCATGAGATGAATCACATAATGACTTGGTTCAGTCGGCACATCAGAGCATAATTATGATTTGCACACATATGGCTGATTGGTAAATGACTAGGTTCAAATATCAGCCCAAATCATAGCTTGGTGTGATCTGAATTGAGATGGAAACATACATGGCGTAGGGTTGGCCGTAGCTATCCTTCCAGCCTAGAAGTCATGGACTTGAGCACAAGAAAAAAAGAAACACTTCCACTAAATCAACTGAGGAGAGACTGAGCTTTTCCATGTTCGTACCACCAAACGTCCTGTGAATTCATTGGTGCAGTCTGAGTTATCCTTGTGAGTGCTGTCGAATCCTAACTGTTTACATGTGTTAAGTTAGACCAACCAGCTTCTCAATGTGTTGTCCTGTTGGGTGACATCATGTAACCAACACGAGTGTTGCCAAACTTAAACTAGCTTCAAGCCACGTAGTTAAAAAATATAAACAAATAAACATGTTTTTTTTACAGGAAGACAAGATTATCACTCAGTCTCTTTAATGTACAGAAGATACTGTGTTTTTCTAATCACTGAGGTTTATTTTTTAAGACGCAATCCTGATTTTGTGCATTTGTTGCTATTATTGCTTGCTGGGACTCTAACAGTTGGCCTGTGGAAGATGAGTGAACTCTGGTGCTTTCCTTGGTTGCATTTGCACTGTAGAATTAATACAGTTTTACACCATTTTAGCTTCACCAAACTACAAATTCCATGTATTGTCGAAGGCTTTCATGGCTGGAATCACTAGGTTCTTGTGGGTTTTTTCGGGCTATAGAGCCATGTTCTAGAGGCCTTTCTCCTGACGTTTCGCCTGCATCTATGGCAAGCATCCTCAGAGGTTGAGAAGGTCTGTTGGAAGTAGGAAAAATGGGTTTATATATCTGTGGAATGGCTGGGGTGGGGCAAGGAGCTCTTCCCTGCTGCAGTTAGGTGTGAATGTTTAGCTGATCACCTTCATTAGCATTTGAAGGCCTGCCTGAGTCTGGGAAAATCTGTTGCTGGGAGGTGTTAATCTGTGCCTGGTTTTTTCCTCTCTGTTGTTTAGCTGTTATAATTTTTGAGTTTTTTAATACTGGTAGCCAGATTTTGTTCATTTTCATGGTCTCTTCCTTTCTGTTGAAATTGTCCACATGCTTGTGGATTTCAATGGCTTCTCTGTGTAGTCTGACATGGTGGTTGTTGGTGTGGTCCAGCATTTCTGTGTTCTCAAATAATATGCTGTGTCCAGGCTGGTTCATCAGGCGCTCTGCTATGGCTGACTTCTCTGGTTGAAGTAGTCTGCAGTGCCTTTCATGTTCCTTGATTGTGTCTGGGCGCTGCGTTTGGTGGTCCCTATGTAGACTTGTCCACAGCTGCATGGTATACGGTAGACTCCTGCAGAGGTGAGAGGATCCCTCTTGTCCTTTGCTGAACGTAGCATTTGTTGGATTTTCTTGGTGGGTTTTTGTAGATTGTTTGTATGTTGTGTTTCCTCATCAGCTTCCCTATGCGGTCAGTGGTTCCCTTGATGTATGGCAGGAACACTTTTCCTCTGGGTGGATCTTCATTTTTACTCTGTGGTTTGTTCTTGGTCTTGCAGCTCTTCTGATGTCTGAGGTGGAGTATCCATTGGCCTGGAGTGCCCAGTTGAGGTGGTTCAGTTCATCTTGGAGGAGGTGGGGTTCGCAGATTCTTTTTGCACGGTCTGCCAAGGCTTTAATGGTGCTTCTTTTTTGACTTGGGTGATGGTTGGTGTTTTTATGTAGATATCTATCTGTGTGTGTGGGTTTTCTGTAGACGGTGTGACCCAATTGTTGATCTGGTTTGCGGATGACTAGGACATCTAGAAAAGGCAGTCTTCCTTCATTTTCTTTTTCCATGGTGAACTGGATGTTTGGGTGGATGCTGTTAAGATGGTCCAGGAACCTGTTGAGTTCTTCTTCTCCATGGCTCCAAATGGTGAAGGTGTCATCCACATATCTGAACCATATCGTGGGCTTTTTGGTTGCTGTTTCCAGGGCTTGTTCTTCAAAGTGTTCCATGTAGAAGTTAGCTATGACCGGGCTGAGAGGGCTCCCCATAGCTACTCCATCTTTCTGTTCGTAGAATTCATTGTCCCACTGAAAGTAACTGGTGGTAAGGCAATGGTGAAACAGAGCCGTGATGTCTTCTGGGAACCTCTGGTTGATGAGTGCCATGGTGTCTGCTACCGGGACCATGGTAAATAGAGATACCACATCGAAGCTGATCAGTTTGTCGTTTGTATTTAGCTTGAGATTGCTGATTTTTTCTATGAAGTGGGCTGAGTCCTTGATGTAGTGTGTAGTGAGCCCAATATGGCTTTGTAACTGTGCAGCAAGAAATTTTGCTAGGTCGTATGTAGGGGATCCAATGGCACTCACGATGGGTCTGAGTGGGGTGGCCCACACCAACAACCACCATGTCAGACTACACAGAGAAGCCATTGAAATCCACAAGCATGTGGACAATTTCAACAGAAAGGAAGAGACCATGAAAATGAACAAAATCTGGCTACCAGTATTAAAAAACTCTAAAATTATAACAGCTAAACAACAGAGAGGAAAAAACCAGGCACAGATTAACACCTCCCAGCAACAGATTTTCCCAGACTCAGGCAGGCCTTCAAATGCTAATGAAGGTGATCAGCTAAACATTCACACCTAACTGCAGCAGGGAAGAGCTCCTTGCCCCACCCCAGCCATTCCACAGATATATAAGCCCATTTTTCCTACTTCCAACAGACCTTCTCAACCTCTGAGGATGCTTGCCATAGATGCAGGCAAAACGTCAGGAGAAATGCCTCTAGAACATGGCTCTATAGCCCGAAAAAACCCACAAGAACCTACAAATTCCATGTTTCTACAGCATTGGGCCATGGCAGTTTAAAAAGTGTCAAAATGCATTATTTCTAGAGTGTAAATACACTCCTATACTATACCTATAGACTAAGAAGCAAGCAAGAAACCATGAAAATGAACAAAATCTGGCTACCGGTATTTTTTTTAAAAAACTCTAAAATCATAAATAAAGAACAACACTCAAAAACAGGGCAATTCCAGACAAGAAACAATCGGGGTCAACTAATTACCTCCCAACAAAGGATTCCCCCCAGGGAGTAAGAAGCCAGATCTTGAAAACTGCTAGACCATTCAATGCTAATCAAGCTGGCCAATAATTGAAACATTGTATAGTCTGGAATTACTGGGTTGTTGTAGGTTTTTCGGGCTATATAGCCATGTTCTAGAAGCATTCTCTCCTGACATTTCACCTGCATCTATGGCAAGCATCCTCAGAGGTTGTGAGGTTTCAGGCGATGCAGGTGAAACGTCAGGAGAGAATGCTTCTAGAATATGGCCATATAGCCCGAAAAACGTACAACAACCCAATTGCAACATTCACACTTGCCTCCAACAGACAAGAGTTCTTTCTGGGTTGTTGTAGGCTTTTTCGGGCTATATGGCCATCTTCTAGAGGCATTCTCTCCTGACGTTTTGCCTGCATCTATGGCAAGCATCCTCAGAGGTAGTGAGGTTCTTTTTCCCACCCTGGACATTCCACAGATATAGAAACCCAATTTCCTAGTTTCCAACAGACCTCACAACCTCTGAGGATGCCTGCCATTGATGCAGGCAAAAGGTCAGGAGAAAATGCTTCTAGAATATGGCCATATAGCCCAAAAAACCTACAACAAGCAATTGCAACATTCACACTTGCCTCCAACAGACAAGAGTTCTTTCTGGGTTGTTGTAGGTTTTTTCGGGCTATATGGCCATCTTCTAGAGGCATTCTCTCCTGACGTTTTGCCTGCATCTATGGCAAGCATCCTCAGAGGTAGTGAAGTTCTTTTTCCCACCCTGGGAAAAAGAACAGATATATAAACCCAATATTTGTTGCCTTACCTAACTTTGGTTCTCATGCGATAGTACTCTGTGAGAATTTATTTCACAGAGAGCAAAATTCCAATAAGCAACCCAATTCCAAATGCCACATTTTGTATTATTCTAGATTCCACAGATATATAAACCCAATTTCCTAGTTTCCAACAGACCTCACAACCTCTGAGGATGCCTGCCATCGATGCAGGCGAAACGTCAGGAGAGAATGCTTCTAGAATATGGCCATGCAGCCTGGAAGATTCACAACAACCCAGTGATTCTGGCCATGAAAGCCTTTGACAAGCCTTATTTTGTTTAATGGTACTTATTTTATAGGCGCAGTCTAAATTATCAGACTTTAAAGGAGAACTCACTTATGTGCAACAAGCACCAAACCCCAAAAAGCGGGTTCTAACAGGAAGATCTGAGTAAAGGCACCGTTCCATCAACAAATTGCCTTTTCTAATCTGTTTCAGGTTTATTGTTGTGTGCTTTCGAGTCATTTCCAATATATGGCAACCTCAAGATGGTTTTCTGGAATGGAGAGTTTGATTCTCCTGAGGCCAAAGTCCTGAAAATAGTTAATACAGCAAAAACATTGGTATTACCAGCAAATGGGAAGAAGATGATGCTCCTGATAGAAGCATCTGTATTGTACATATTTGTAAACATTTGTTTGCCATATTTACACTTTACTTTTGTGAGCATGTCAGCATATACTTGGAAATATCTTAGCGGATTGTGCAATTAATATGCCATCAAATGTAATGGTGAAGAAGCCATAAGAAAGGATCCATTTGCCTAGTTTATTTATTATTTATCTCCGAAATCAGCACATTTCCCAAGTTCATTTCCAGGCTGCAGGAACAGCTCTCAAAACCACAGTAGTCAAGAGAACACTCTGTGCTGCTGGGTGATTACGAAAAAGTGTTTAGTTTGTGATGCAATTTAGATCTTCATTACGTGCAAAAATTAATTTGTAACATGTTTTGTTGTTGTTGTCTGTGTCTTCATACATTTCTGTAAAATAACTTCATTTCTATCTGTATGAGATTACCTTTATTTAACCCAAATGGTTGCTTATTCCTCACTCACTCTTCCCATTTCAAAAACCATCTTCTAGTAGTACTGCAATTCTCATCACCCTAAAAAAAAGGAAGGAGAAAATTATAATATTTCATAACATGGCATAAATTAGGTTTTCGACATATAAAGGCAGGCAGTCCCCAAATAATGACAAGATAGGTTCTGTAGGTTTGTTCTTAAGTTGAATTTGCATGTAAGCCAGAACAAGTATATTTTTAAGTGTCATTCTAGCTATTCACACACATATAGGCAGTCCCCAACTTACAAACATTCAACTTACAAACAAACAACTCTCAGTTAAGAATGAAGGTGAGATAACAGGAAGTGAGAGAAATCTTTCCATCGGAAGGGAAATTCCCTCCTGGAAGAGTTATTACCATGGGAAAAAGGGGTCTCCACTGAAGCTTTCTCACCTATCCTTGTTTCCACAACAAACCAAAATTTTCAAAATCTAATTCTCACAGGCAGAAAAAGTGAGGTGAAATCTTCTGAACAGGGGCACAG